GCTCTCCTGCGGGCCAGCAAAAGTTGCTTCCCCTACCTAAACACAAAAATCTGAGGGCAGTACTCCTTCTCTCCCTTTCACCCCAGAGCCACATGCAGGAGAGGGAACAGCTGGCCAGGAGGATCATGGCTGCCTCCTCCTGTACCCTACTGACATCACACACTGGAGACTGGCACAAGTCGGGTGGCTGACTGTGGCCTCTCCCACTATGTGGCACAGGAGGAACGGGCTGGGGGCACATCTCCTGCCTCTCCCCTCTCTGGCTCCCCATCTTCCTCTCTCACTTCACTGGCATGGGCACAAGCTGTTCTCAGTTTTTTTCTCCCCAGTTTCCTCGTGTCCCACTCAGTCATGAGTTAACATTTCATGGTCTTCTGAGAAATACTCATCCCTTATGTTGAATGGCAAGCATCAATCTCTGTGTGATTTTCAATGAGTACCTATTTCCAGACAACACCGAGGGGCCCTTTCAAACACGGAGGGGAAGAAAACATTCTTGTCTCTGGATGGATTCCTATAAATAATTTTCTTTTCCTTGAGAATTTACAACCAAGATGGCAATAAGATATATTCCACAATGGAAAGAGTTGTTAAGATACGGTTGTCGTCATGGCTTGTGTAACTGTTTATGATACTCATGACATACTCATTTCACATGCTTTCCCTAATAGGGAGCGCAAGACTTTTGCCACCAAGTAGTAGTCAGCTGAACAACGAAGTCCACACCACATGCGTATTAGTTAGTAATCACACCTTTTGATCTTTATGGTTACAAATGCTTGTGCTTGCATTAGATCTTTGTTCATCTTGGATTCTTGCTTGATTCCTTGTGAAACCCCATGTTACAGCCTCAGCATCCTCTGCTGTGCTGGGCAGCATTGCAAACAGTGGTGGTTGCATGGCAGAGACAGCCAGGTTGGTGGGCTCTGAGGGACAGGTTGGTTTAAATGCCACCAGCTGGATCTGCTGCTCAGAGAAACAAGGAATCAACACTCTGATATAGAACTGGCATCCAAGAAATGCTGAAATTGTCCCTTTGAACTTAAAGGTAGCAGGCACAACAAGGATATATACGAGAAAGATAACCAGCTCAAGGTGGGAAGTGTGCCCTTGTGCTCCTCCACCTTTCCAAACAGGAGATCTAGCTTGTGCTGTGAACGTTTTGCAGCAGGCTGTGTTTTACTTGGTCATACATGAAATGTTTGCCAGGTTGGCAGGTGAAGTGGCTTTCCCTGCTGGGCTCTATAGCTATTGCACCTACAGATTTTGCAGGGAAGATAATTTTTTGTGTGTTGTTGCCATTTTCCAAATGAACTTGCCTTTTGTGATGACTAGCAAACTTGGGATGAGCTGTAATCTTGAGAAGAGGCTCCTTGAGTCAGCAAAGCACAGGGTTGTGTGGGTTTCAAGTCGATGAACATCCTTTTGCTTCTGGAAGCCTGAACTTGGAGATTTAGGCCATTTGTATTGTACCAGGTGTATGTCTCTGTTGACAGCCCTTCTTTGCCTGCCTGCCTTGAACAGCAGCAGCTCTGCTCTCTGAGAGCATTGTCACCTGCTGATTGCAGGCACGGGGGTGTTCTGGTTTGCATCCCAAACCTCAAGCATACAGAGCACCTATGCTGTGTTAATATCAATCCTTTGAACCACACCAAAGTAGAGGCAAAAAAAGTTCCCAGCAACCAGTCAAGCAACCAAATGTCCCAGTGGACATTTTAGTAGCTGATTTTCCTCTTTCAGGTACGTCAGGAAGCAAAGAAAAAGAAGGAAAGGGGGAAAAGCCACACAAATTGGCAAAAGCAAACATCTTGTCAAATGCACAGGAAAGAAAGTATTTAAACTGGTACTACATCATATCTCTAATACTGCTGTTTCAGGCATTTAGACTAAAGAGGTGGCAAATGAATGCAAACTTTTTCCTATATGCATTTGTCCCATTTTTACTTTAATTTGCTTTGCTTATGTTCACACCTTCTGGGAATGTACAAGTTATCAGGTCTCACTGCCACAAATGCTTTCAGAAAGTGAATTTGAAAGCCGTATGCCCAAACATGTGAAGAAATTAAATTGTTTCACATACTCTCAGGTAGTCATGCCAGAAGTTCTTCTCTACCAGAAAGCCGAGGAAAACATGTGGTATTCACTTAGCTGTCCAGTACATACTGAACATCCGGTATCATCAGGAAAACAGTCTGGGACTAAGCCACAACATGTTTAAATTACTTTAAAATAATTATGAATAACGAATTCAAGAAATCTACAGTGCGCTCATGAGTATGTCGTAAATGAAACAAAACCTGAAAAAATTAAAACAAGTATGTGACGTGTAAATTATTTCTTCTGCCCTAGTCATATTTCCTATCTCAAGAGCATGAAATGGATATAGCTGAAATACAAATAATCTTTGAATAATGCATTTATTCATAATGATTTAGGAAGCCGATATTAATGGCTTTGTTTCAAGTGTGACTGGAACTATTTCAAATGTTTTCTTTTCTTCAAATGTTTTATGGAGTAGATACTAGAGAGAAGGACCTTCTCTTCTGGTATTAATTCCTGTTGCTACTTTCTTGTTAATTATGTGTCTGATCTGGAATGGCTTAAAGTGATTTACTGTGGGATGTGTAGGATGGTCTTCGTGTGTGCTGCAGGCAGACCTTCCCTGCTGCAGCTCCTGAGGCACGGGGAGAATACAAATACCCCATTTCATAGTGGGTTTGTGCCAGTTCTGCCTTGGAATCCTCCAATTCAAACAGTGTTGATATGCAAGCTCAATATACCTGGAATTTAGAAACAAATGCCTTCTTGCTTTTGAAGCTTTTAGCAAAATACTAGGAGTGCTTTATCGTATGATACAAAGTACAGAGTACAGTGCCAAAACTCAGGATAACAAGTATGTTTGGAAAACATTAAGCCTTGAACTAGTTTATTTATTAAGAAGAAAGAAAAAGTAATTCACATGCAAGTATATTTGATCCTAGCTGAACCACATCCCCCTCCAGCCGCTGATTGGACTGGGCTGGGGGATCCGTTCATTCAAAGGTTAACGTTTTAATGTGTGTGCCAGAGAGTAGTAAACGGAGTGAACATTGCTGTTTTCTTATTTTTAAGGAAGGTGTGACTGCTGGGGCTAACCATGGTTTGGGATCTGTCCATCCCTTCCAGGTCATGTGCAAAACAAAGTAGGCATCAGGAAGACATCAAAGACAGAGGGATGAGCCGGGTTTATAAATACAGGAGGGTGGCATGGCTGGGGCTGGCAGTCTGGCAGCCGGCACTGGAGTCCTCGGAGTTCATCCCACGCTCCCGCCGAGTCGCTCATCTCTGTTTATATGAGTAATGGAGCAGCTGGGGGAGGGGATTTGTAAGCACAGAGCAAATACTCTTAGTGTTCATTTTGTGTAAGGCTGACATCCACACCAAGTCAAGACTTCCAGCGACGTAGTGTGCAGTCACATGCTATAGCATTCATGAGTACAGATATAAATCAGGCAGATGTTTGTCGACTGGAATGGGTAATAATTTCTTTCTCTCTTTGTTTGATTTTGCATGTTAGCCTCAGATGACAATTTAAGAATTGCTTTCTGCCGTACTTTTCAATAAGCAGAATGTGCTTCACTGGAGATGGAGATATTTCTGTAGGGAGATAAACATATTTTTATATAGACACAATTATGGACTTACACACATATGCACATGCATATATATATATATTTAATTTTTTTACCGTGTGCCAGTGCTGGGGGAAGAAAAAGGACATCTCTTTTGGTTTTAAAGCCATGGCTTTTCCTCTGAACAGACCAAATATGACACTGTTACTCAAACTATAAGATCAAATTAGCACCCTTTATTGTGTTTGCAAACTAATTAAAATGTAAAATGTCGTGAAACCACTGGCTTACTGTGTGACAAATGTAAGATTAGAAACAATTAGAAGGCACTCAAGAGGTTTGTGGTGTTTAGATTTCTGACATTGTTCTAATCATCCCTTTAAGTAATGAAAACAATGGTTACCTAGAAATTAAAGGTTTAAAGTAAATTATGTTCTTCGGTACAGTCATTAGTTAATGATTGTTTATCATTTTAAATGTTGCTATAGTAGTCTGAGGCTGATTTTTAAATCTGAAAGCAGGCAGGACACGTAATAATGAGCAAACATCTGCTTCATCTATTATTTCTACATGTGAACATAATTTATATTGTAATATCACTATGGAAGGATGAGTCTGATATTTTTGATGATGATCCATATCCCATTCTATGTATGGCTCAGAGCTGTTAGGATTTAGTCACTGTGTTATTTCAGAACTGTTTTATCTTAAGAATTGGACAAAGCTGAAAGTGATTCATGTTAATTTATATGTGTGGTATGTAACCCTTATGAAACAATCAATCACTTATTTCAGTACTTGTCAACTTCCAGAACTGTTGTTAAGGGGCTTTTTTTGATCCATTTCAGGACTCAAGGGTAATTTTAAAAATTTTTTTTTTTTTTTTACTTGTTTTAGAATTTTGACAAGAATGACAGGATATATAAACATTTCTTGGAGCTGTAAGGAATTTCAACATTTCAGAACATTTACAAAACCAGATGTTTCCCAAAGTTGGAAATTTTAGTTAATACTATTATTTGAAGATAAGAAATAATAAAAGCAGAAGGCTGATTAATGCAAAGTTATCTATTAATATTCTGGGTTATTCTTTTTTGTACCATGGAGAAATATTTGTGCTTTTTATCTGATTCCTTCGGAGACCAGTGTTTGACTTTATATTAATTAGCTGTGTGAGAGTTAAATAGATTAGCCTTGAGGTATATTCTATAGGAACATATAGTGTGTCAAGATGTAACTCATGGAGGATAGGAATCTTGTAATAAGTATTTACTGTAGACAGATGTGTACATTTCTGTGATGATTGTAGTGGAATTATTTATTATGCTTTCAGCTGTTTAAAATGTAGTATAAGACAATGTGCTCAAATTGTTCTCCATTAATTTTCAGCACCAAATCTTAAAGGCAGACCACGCAAAAAGAAGCCTTGCCCACAGAGAAGAGATTCATTAAATGGCATTAAGGATTCCAACAATAATTCTGAAAGCAAAGCTGTTGCCAAGGTAAATCACTTAATAATACTCTTTTCAGCACACTTTTCTTTTTTAGGTACAGCCCTGCCTTTGTTTCCCAGCATGCTGTTTCAAATTTAGAATGTAACTTATTTTCTTCGGGGGATAAATGTAATTTTTTTTCAGTAGTTTTATTCTTTACTTTAAATCATGTCTGTGTTCAAAGTTACCAGCAACTATAATCACCTAACAACCTACTGCTATCAGCTTGTTGGTAACTGGTAGTGCTTAAGCTTTCTTGGCATCTAGTGTTAGTTTTCACATTCTGTGACACACAAACATAGTTTGTGACAGTATCTTTGAATTAAAAATAAACCTGGGAGCAGCTCACGCTCTTACAATGTACTTCTAAATATAAATTTGACGATAAACAGGCTGTGGAACAAGAGCCACTTCAGTAATGGTTTCTAAGAAGCACACACAAATGACATTACTCTGATGTTACGATCTCAACCTTTTTAAATTAGATTAGGAAAAAAAAAAAAAAGATAAAGGAATTCAGTACAAAAGCTTTAAAAAAAAAATTTTAGCCATTTCTTTAATACTTAGTGAGCTGTGTGTTCCAGGGTTTGTTGAATAGTGCATGCTTTTACAGAGTCTTCTGTATGTGCTGCAGTGCTTAGCCCATGTTGAAAGTAAAAATTGGATCATTGATTTGTGTTTATAGGCTTAATCATTCAGATATTTATGGGTTTGTATCTTTTCCTTGAAATATTTTAAAATGGAGTTTCTGTAGTGTAATTTACATCCTATTTTCTATGTTGTCTAAGTGGCTTTAAATAGGAATTTGGTTTCCTCTTTTAAAAAAAATCAGCAGCACAAATGGCTCCTTTCAAGATGATTTAATTTGAAACTCTAAGATGCAAAGATGGAAAATTAGTTAGGGCAATACTTACAGATTTTTATCTGAGGCAGAACTTTGTCAGTGTGATACTTTTGAGCTAAACAGCTGAATAGGTTTGCATAGGCTGAATTTTTAGGTAAACTCCTCCCAAATCCATTGTTTCAATAAATTAGATAGATATGTATCTGAAAAATGCCTCCATTGTTGTGACCATCTCTTAAGGAAATACAGTGGATCTATAGATCCATTTGCCTTGGTATTGTGCGCAGTGAATGTCCTGGGAGATTAGTAGGTTAAAGAGGTCAAGTGGAAGTGTTCTGCTCTCCGTTTCTCATAGGAAGGCAAATTAAATTCCACCTCCTCCTCCTCTCTAGGAGTTCAGTTAAAATTGTGCCTTCTGTTGATGACGATGAAAGAGGCTGAAGTTCATGATGAAGCTGTGCCCTTAAGTCACTGTTTCTCTTCTTTTTGTGCCGTATTGTGCTCAGTTGGAGTCTGTACTATCATATTAAACAGGCATGGTAAAAGGCTATGGAGCCTGGTGTGTTGAGTTGCAGGGTTCTGCCAGTTACTATAGAGTTTGCCTGAATGTTTTTGCTCTGTGGAAGAACATGCAAAATCTGTGGTGTGAAAATGTCTCAATTTGCCTCAATTTGTCTTTCCCCCAAGCAGTTTTTCATGTTAAAATACTACCAGCAAGCTGCAGCCTGGACTGTGTTGTCAAAGCACCCCAGACTGTAGCACAAGTAGTTCTGCCTATTCTGCACCTGATATATAGGTATTAGATAATTAAAAACAACAGTAACACTTCATACCAAATTGTTTATCCATTCTGTTTATATTTGGGTTCACACTGCAAGTCAAATGGGAGGATATTTCAGATTAGAAGTAATTCCACCTATTTATCTAGTCATACTGTGCTCATCATGTGCAGATATTAATAGCATTAATTATCTTGGCCAGCTTAATTTCATTATAAATAATAGACATGTTCATGATATAATGTCCTTGCATGTAGTCACACTGACTTCACTGTGGTTCTTCACATCAATCTGTGTCTCAGGGCTTTGGATATACTTAATAAGGGGAGGACAGTGAATCATAAACCCTCTACAACAGACGCACTGCCCTTCATACAAAACCTGCCTGTTCATTTCTGTGGAAGAAGAAGTGTATTTGGGAAAGGGAAGGGAATGGAGACTCACCTACTGTCTTCTTACTGTTGGGAACTGCTGGGATATTGAGTCATCATGTTGGACTTCACCATCAGTTTTCCTCCGCTGACTTGTGCTGACAGTAGGTCTGTGGAGAGCATGTTTGAACACTGCTAGTGTAAATGGTCAAATCCACTTGTGTCAGATACTGAAGCATTTGGCAGTGGTCCTGGCTGTATTCCTGTTCCAGATAAAATCCCTTTTGATAAGAATTTGTGCTGCTTTCATCCTTAGATATTGACAGCCAGTGTCTGACAACAGCGTCATTTCTCATGTGGCAGGGCAACGGCTCTGATGGAGGTGCAGTGGCTGTACAGTTTGGGTCAGAAAATGCAAAAAAGGGCACTCTGAAGACAGTGGGTTTGAGCCTGTCAAGACTAATACAAGCAACATGACTGTAATGACTTACTGGATTTCATGTTCCCAGCTGCCAATGACTAGAAAGCTTTATATCTTTTTACAACTTTATTCTTATTAGGCATGCTTACCTGACACAGAAGAATGGTTGAGTAGGAACAGCTATGAGTAAATCCCAATGTAGGTGGCTTGTTAAAAATAGAGTGATAGCGGGACAGACAATGTGGTTCTGGATATGCAGGTGCTGCCAGGGAAAGTGGATCTGTCTTGTACCACTTACTGCTTTTTATGTCCTTGCTGGTCACTGCATCCATTTTAATGCCTCCTGGGGAAGATCCCAGGGGAGATCCCTGCCAGACTGGGAATGTAAAAATCACAAGAATATGCAGCCATCTACTGAGGCAGGATCAGCTTCCCTGGAGAGGCATGTATGAAGCTCTACTGTCTAAACGCTCCCAGGACTCTGAAGGCTTTCATGCTTCGTGTGTCATCAGTGCTGGACAGGCTTTTGGGATTTTCAGGTTTCAGCATGAGCCTTGTCATACCTGCTTCGTGCTCCCAAACAGTGTTCCCCAAGTGTGCAGAAATGCACTGTAAGACTTTTTAAAACTGGGTGATCTGACTGTTTTGAGGAGCTGAAAGGATTTACGCGTTAAACATGGAAATTGTCGCCCAAATTAATCTACTTATTACATATCCTGGTGCAAATGCTGAAGGAAATCTTTTGCTTCATTTTTACAGACAGATCTGGGAAATTTGTTTGAAAGTGGCCAGGATACGCTTTTCCTGTGGCCACAGGTGGCCTGACATGGTCTCAGACCTGGGGATGTATTCCGAGTACCTCAGCCATTATCTGATTGGAACTTTAAAATGCAAGTCTGTGGTGGTCTGTCTTGTGTGTGATCTCTGCCAGAAGACAGACACATGGGTGTACTCATGAGTATTCACAGGCCGTTTGGTCGAGGATCATAACCCTGATGGAACACACAGTAGGAGGTGGTCAGATGTTCCCAGTACCTGTATCAGTGCACCCCGGCATATCCATGCTGTGGCACTAGGTTGCCTGTCAGGGCCTTAGTCCTCAGTTTCATGTTGGAGGTGTTCCATGGAGGCTACAGTAAAAGAGCTTTAATTCCTCCTATAGAAATTGAATTCTGCCTTTATAATGGAGTCGTTCAGACTTCCTGAGCAGAAAAGAAAATAGAGCACAGCCAAGCAAAACTCTGCATTCAGGACCTTCCTTCAGATTTTTGCCCTCTAAGAAGATTCAAAATTGTGTTCTGAAAGAGAAGGGCATTTTGTGATGCCTGGTGCAAATCGTAGAATCATAGAATGGTTTGGGTTGGAAAGCACCTTAAGGTCATCCAGTTCCACTCCCCCTGCCATGGACAGAGATGCCTCACACTAGACCATATTGCCCAAGGCTCTGTCCAGCCTGGCCTTGAACATTGCCAGGGATGGAGCATTTAGCATTTCTTTGGGCAACTCATTCCAGTGCCTCACCACCCCCACAGTAAAGAACTTCCTCCTTACATCTAACCTGAACTTCCCCTGTTTAAGTTTAAACCCATTGCCCCTTGTCCTATTGCTACAGTCCATGATGAAGAATCCCTCTCTGGCATCCTCGCAGGCCCCCTTCAGATACTGGAAGGCTGCTATGAGGTCTCCACGCAGCCTTCTCTTCTCCAGGCTGAACAGCCCCAACTTTCTCAGCCTGTCTTCATGCAGGAGGTGCTCCAGTCCCCTGATCATCCTCCTGGCCCTCCTCTGGACTTGTTCCAACAGTTCCATGTCCTTTTTATGTTGAGGACACCAGAACTGCACACAATACTCCAGGTGAGGTCTCATGAGAGCAGAGTAGAGGGGCAGGATCACCTTGTTCGACCTGGTGGTCACGCTCCTTTTGATGCAGCCCAGGATACAGTTGGCTTTCTGGGCTGCGAGTGCACACTGCTGGCTCATGTTTATTTTCTCATCGACCAACACCCCCAAGTCCTTCTCTGCAGGGCTGCTCTGAATCTCTTCTCTGCCCAGCCTGTAGCTGTGCCTGGGATTACTCCGACCCAGGTGTAGGACCTTGCACGTGGCATGGTTAAACTTCGTGAGGTTGGCATCAGCCCACCTCACAAGCCTGTCAGGGTCCCTCTGGATGGCATTCCTTCCCTCCAGCATATCAACTGAGACACATCTTAGTGTTGTCGGCAAACTTGCTGAGAGCACACTCAATCCCCACTTGTCCATGTCACTGACAAAGATGTTGAACAGGATCTGGCATTGCTGTTACTGGCTTTGGTACTTTTATGCTGGATTTACACCAGTGTTACCCAGAATGTCATTTAGCCCTTTTCGTTCTCGTTAATCATCGGTCATTGCATTCATTGATATCGCCTGTCAGACAGTGGGGAAGTTCCAGAGTGAGGCTTGGGCCTTGAGCGCCAAGCGAGTGGAGGCATTGCAGCCTTCCTCAAAGCTTTGTTGAACCTGACACTGCTTGGAGTCAATCCATTGCATTTTGGCACCCTTTGAATTCCACAGGCACTTTGACCTCACTTCTCTTTACACTTGAGTGAAGGAGGTTGTGTGTAACATGGTGTATTCTCGCTCCTGGTGACTTTTTTAATTTTACTTCTTTGTTTCCTTTTGTCTCCTTGGAAGTAACATCCCTTACCATTAGTTTACTTGCACAGCAGTGAGCTCTGATTTCATTTAGCATTCGTGCCTAGCATGTCTTGCAAACAGTTCTGAATTGTCCGGTTTGGAAAAGAAAACACACTTAAATTACTGATTGATTGATTGATTGATTGATTGGCTTTACCTAGCCAGTGGGTGACAAAACTGAAAAATTATTTCCAGTGAATTTGTTCTGAGTTTTAGTTTGCAACAAATTTGCAGCTCAAATTAAAACCCTTACATTTATTTGAATCATGGGTTCATGTTGGGAGTGCTAAACCAGTCTTCGGTATAGGAGTGAAAACTATGACAGTGTAATCTAAACTTTATAAGGGGAACCTGTTAAATAATTTTGTAAGGAGCCAAAGTAAAAAACTCAAGGGATTTTCTGAACTGAAAAGTAGATGAGGAAATGCAAAGTTAATAGGAAAAAAAATCCATTAGCTCCATTGAGTTTTGGATGAAACCCAGGATCTTTACAGAAGTTTAATCAACAAAGATACCTGTTACTAAAAGGCAGAACATGGTGTCTTATGCCATAGGAAGACAATATCTCTTTGAACCATACAACCAGAGAATATCAAGCAGTAGAGCAGACATACTTTAGCAGTAAGTGATGAAAAAAAATCCTGCAGGAAGACCACTTCCCAATCCCTGCTGCATTGCCTGGGAGGTGCGAGCCTGTACCCTGCCGTGTCTGTCTTAACAGCAAGATTTTTTAGCAGCATTGACTACCTTGGAAGATTTTGGCCACTTGTCTCCTTTGCTTGGTAGTTGGTGTTGCTTTGTCTAACATTTGTGGAAAACTATGGAGGCAGCTAACCTTAAGTCAGTGCTTTCTGCAAAGTTAGTACTATGGAGGAGTAGAAAAAATTTTGCTTTCACTGAGCCTGAAACACACAGTAGCTTTATTGAGAAAAAATAAGCACATCACAGTCTTTGCAATTAAATGTTGTTTGCTTACAAGCACCCGTGTAATGCTCTTCATAGCATTACTTCCAAAATACCAACAGGTTCCCAACTTGGTTTAGAAGTGATAAGAGTGAAGCAGAGTCAATGGTTTACTTGACCAAGAGCTCCTGTCTTGTTCAGCAAGATACTCTGCTTTCGAATGCTGTCCTCCTAAAATACCAAATACTGGCTTGTACAGTCTCCCTGCTCCGTTTGGGAGTACAAAGGACATGTCTTGGATGGGGTATGGAGCTGCCAGAAGGCTCTTTGCAGCACTCAAAAGCATTGAAGGAACAGTGCAAATGAAAACACATGTAACCATCTCCACTACTTTGTATTAGAGGACTTCCAATATTTCACTGGAAATGCATCTAGTCTCAGTCATGGACAGCTTTTAAATACAGTTTGAAAAATTCTGCTCTTTTTTATTGTTGTTGTATGCGTAAATTATGGGAATGCTTGAGTTGTAATTTGCTTGATTCAATGAGAGGATTATCTTCAGGAGGATTGCAGGATTAAGCCAGTCTTGCTGGATAGTTTTCCCCATGTTCGAATACTGATGAGGTAAAGTGGTTCCAATTTGTTGACTTCCTGACTGGCATTCATCTGCTGGGGAGGCCAGTGGGAGACCTGAAGCTCTGGGACTTGAGTGCACTGGGGCTGCTGGTGTCTACCAGTAAAGGCTTCAGCTATCAGCCTGTTCCATCTGCTAAATACTTAGGGCTGTGCTTAAATTTAAGCAGATGCTCAAACCCACTTAACTTAAGTCTGTGCTACAGCAGAACCTCCACTTGTGTGTGCTGAGAGCTCTGCCTGGGTAGGGACTGCCAAGGTTTGCTTCTATTTTGATGGGCCAAAGGAGGGAAAAATGTGTCGTTCCAGAACGGCTGCTGAGCGTTCCTGGAAGGGGCTGAGCACCCTCAGCTCCGAGGGTTGTCTATGGGAGTTGACAATGCTCAGTGTCAGTCCTGGAACGAAGGTTATTATTAGACTTGCTAATGGCAAGTGTATGTGAGAGATGGGAGCTGTCTGACATAGCAATGTATAGTCATAAAAATGCAGATCTGGAGAGCATTACCAATGGGTTATAATGATTTAAAGATGTGGCTATTTAAAAATGTTGTGACTAAGATTCAGAATAAGACATTTAGCTCTATAAATAGCTTCCTTTGTTTCCCCTCAAACACAGTTGCGTGGTTTGGCCTTCATTTTTTTTCAACAAACCATTCTGCTAGAGAGGATATTTATTCCTTAAGTGAAAATTAAAGGTTACCCAGATCTGATATGACATCTTTTCTTTTCCCAGGTAAAATATGAGGCTAAATCAGCTTTGCCCAAACCCAAGAGTAACAACAGCAACTGTAAAAAAGGCTCAAGTGAGGATAAATCAAAGATTGCCATAGGTGAAGAATGCAGAGCTGATGAGCAGGCTTTCCTTGTGGCTCTTTATAAATATATGAAAGAAAGAAAAACACCAATTGAACGAATACCCTATTTAGGTTTTAAGCAGAGTAAGTATCTTTTTTTCTCACTTTCTTGTTGACATTTTAGAACGGTATTTGGCTTCTCTGGAGAAAGCATTTGCACACAAAGCCTAATTTAAAGCCTTATGGATGGGGGGACCATGTTTATATCTACACATTTTCCAGTCCAGGCATTTCACTCTTATGCCTAGATTTTCATTTCTTCCTTCTTGGGGTAGTTGCTGCCAGATATTTATAGGTTTAAATCCGCTGATTATGACTAGAAATAGGCATGTTGAAAACTCTCTAGTTTTCTGTTTTGTAAATCTGCAGCGTCTGTAATGCCTTTCTTCTGAGTTAATAATATGACGTATCTTTATTGTGCCCAGATGTTCTTTATGAAGGGACAAATATTAAAGGAAGACATTTAAAGGTGGTCAAAAAAGGCACAAAAGGGATCATATTTTTAAGCCCCAAAATGTGTTTATAGTTAATAAATTACTGACTTCAGAGAATATAAAACCAGACTGTATCTGTTTAATACAGAATGCAGTGTTTAGGATTGCTTTGGCATGCACAGTTTGTAGTGACACAATCTGTAAAGCAATTGTAGGTGGAGAAGATACAGTTGCAACTTAATTTTACATAAATATTTCAGTGCAGTGCAGATCTTTCAGAGTTTCCAACAAAAGCTGTAAATGGGGGTATTTTTGCTCCTTATCTGTAGATTGAATGATCTATATTTCCTTTATTTCCTTAAAGGGAAAACTTCATGGATTGAAATATTATTTACTCTAATTTATCTCCCAGATTAAAACCATGTGTTATTTTGATGAAGAATGTCAAACCTGTATGTTTTACATAACAATTTACATACCTAATAGCAATTGGCACTGATTGCAACAGGCCTCCAGCAGCCATTATAAACTTAAATAACTCCGAATGATTACAGTGTTTGTCTGAAAACTGGCTGCTTGAAATGGAAGTAAAATTAATGTACTATGAACAGTGTCGTTGCATTATGCATTGATTCAGATTAAATCAAGGCCTAAGCAAAGCTCTTGATAGCTTTGAAACAGTACAAGGTTCAGTGAGGCTTTCAGAATATTTTGTGTTGAAGAGACGATTTCTCCTCTTCTGCCCCATTTTATTCTGCACTTCTGCAAGAATGGGGACAGGGTAGGCTTGAAAGACAAGCTGAAGTATTATTTCTAAAATGCTCCACCAGGGGTAGGGCTCTCTGCTAATATTTCACTGAAAAACACTGGAAGTTGCCTGACATTCATTATAAATTAGGGGCCTGATCCAGCAAATACTTAAATGCCAAGAGAAAGTATTCTGAGAGAAATAGAAATGTTTGCAGGACAGGGCTTTTTATTTGTCCAGCAAGACTTGTGCAAACATTGCCAGTATAAATAGGTTAGTGGGAAGAGGCAGTATGTACACACAGGAGAATCCCCCTGTGAAGGAAGAGATCCTGTCCTCTGTGGTCTGCAGCATTACTGCTGAGCCTAGCCTGAAGTATCTGTAGTGCATCTGTGGGGAATCACTGCTAGTGAAATTGTGCATACACATTTCATAGAGCACAAGATACTAGTTTTTCTCCTAGCAATTAAAATAAAGACAAGACACCAGCAGCAAGCAGTGCCCCTTGCAATTGTGAGCTAGGATGAAAAGCACATCGGAGGGGACACATTCTTCTAGGAAGTAAGAAGAGTTAACACATCTTTTGAATTGAGCTGCCTTTGCTCCTCCGACCCCACCATGGGCAAGGCACAACCATTCATACCTTAATTATTATGGTAATTTTCATTTGTGCTCCCTCTGGGTTCATTCATGCAGGACCTGTTAGAACACAGCTTATTGTTTATTGATTATGGAGGCCATTATCTGAGCTCCAGTAAATACTGGATATTGTTGTTTAATCAATAGTCTTTCTCTGTTATCCAGTGTATGGCTCATGCTTGCTTGCCGAGGAAATCAGTATTAAACAAATAATTAAAAGCAACATTCTACCCAATGAGTAATTTTTATTATCAAAGTTATGGAAACATGCTACAGTCATTACACCATGCCTCTTATCAGCAAAGTCAAATGAGCCCATTACTTTTGTCTCAGTGTATTTTTCCAATCCTGTTAAGGAATCTTTAAGTGTGTTCTCTCATATGTAATTAAAATTATATATAGTACAGGCTAATATTTGCTCTTCAGATTATGTAAATACCTCTTTGGAAAATGTTTCACAGAAGCTTTTTCAAGGGCTGTGAGATTTTTTTCTCTATTTTTCTTTTTTTTTTTTTAATGTTTAATTTTCATTTCTTTGAAATATGTTGGTTAATGCAATGCTTATCTAAATACTTATTGTCCCTCTAACAGTTAACCTTTGGACTATGTTTCAAGCTGCTCAAAAACTGGGAGGATATGAAACAGTAAGTGTTTAAGTAACTTAAATGAAATAATTGTGCAATCTTAACTTTTCCCTGTTAGAAAAAAAAATGTGAAAGCAAACAGTCATTTGATGCATTTTAGGCTAGCTGTACACATTGTGGGTTTATTGGACCATTTTTGGAAGCAGTCCCAATTAGTTCCAGGTTTGGCAAAATTGTAAACTTGTCGTAAAAACTACAAGTGGAAAACATATGTAACTCTTCCCTGTCAAGGAAATTAGTTGGGTCTGTAATTTTTTCCCATGTTGAGAAAAGGCTATTATTGTACAACAAGCCAAGATTGCATAAAAGAAATTTCACTTGGCAGCATCCCTGACATCTGTTCATGTCTAATATGGGAAATGTATTAAAGGCTTTCAAAAGTAACTAGCATTGTCCATTAAGGAATAGTATGCTGCAGTATCTTCTGTTATTCCAAGTGTAAAAGATCTTTGTTAGACAAGGGTAAGTACCCCATAAACAGGAAGTTATCAGAGTAATTCAGAAAAGTCTCTGACACTTTTTATCAGCTAACCATATCTGACAAGAGCAGTTTATTTTTAGTTCACAAGAAAATTTGATTGCCATGGATTTTACAGCATGTATTTTTAACCAATAAAATATTAGAGCAACAAACTTAGATTAAAATCTTGAAATGGGAAGAAAGAGCTGCATTAATATGGCACATCAAGATGACATCTGTAATAAAAAACAATTGACATAGGAAGATGTCGTCATTGGAAATATTTTCTTTGCACACAATGATCAGATTAAGTTGTTCAGTTCCTGCCGCAGTTGGATGAAAGAAATTATTTTTGCTTTGTTTACGAAGTAATCTAGGACATATCTGTGCTGTAGAGAAATAACAAGAAGAAATGCACTATCAAGAAACTGAAAGTCATTTGAACCAAAATACAAAACTCACTGTTTTCCTGCCGTACAATAAAACACATTGTTCTATAAATCAGCAGCCCAGGTTGATTAGCATGGGTGTGGCTGGAATTTCATGAAGCATAAAATCCAACATTCTCAACAAAAATCTATGCTTGATTTGGCTTTTATTGTTCCTTTATCTTTCATTAATCAGCACATACCATGCTCATGTACAGGGGTGTGTGTAGGTGTGCTCACAGGTATATATGAATGAATAGCTACCATAGGTAGATTGTTACAGCAATTATGAGCCAACAGTAATTGCTGTGAGTTGCAAAGTGCAGTGAAAATGAGGGCTAACATCTTGAATTTGATTCAGAGCACAAGGGAAGGCTGGGAGGGAGATTGAGAGTGTCGTGTTCAGAGTGCATAGGCAGGTGGGAGATTTTCACAGCAATGTTTCAGGTCTGCTTGAAGGGACCAAGTAGAAAAGCAGGGATGCCAGAGTGGTGACTTCTGGAGAGAGCTGAATTTTAGTGCCAGAATGAGAGGGAGAGGGATGTATTTAGAAATGCTGGAGAAGGTGAACCTCTGTGCCTGCAGCAGAGCAGGAACAGGATGGTGTGTTTGTGAATACGAGGCCAGAGAGCCAGGTCCGGTAGCAGAAACATGAGAGGATTAGAGGGAAAGGATCACATATGTGAGAATGTCATCCAGAGTAGCATCAATCCACCCTTGCCTCAGAGCTCCTGTCCTTTTCTCAGTGACAGACATTCTCTATTGTTTAGGGGCATTTGTCACCTCTGATGAAATGTACCAGCACTGCTTATTTCTTCATAGAGAAGAAACTAAGCAATTGCTTGCTGGTCAGTAAATGGCAAGGCAAGCTTATCTGACACCCTCTGACACATCTGGGAGCCCAGCTTTGGTTTGCGACTGGCTGAAGTGGTGGGCCTGATACTGTTTTTATGATATGAATGGCATCTGTGCTCTCTGCAGAAGAGCTGAAGTTGGGAGGACCATTGTGATGTAACTTGAATTGTATGTGAAGCATGAGGTTTCCTGACCTCATTGTCTTCTGTTAACAATCTCATCCTCAATATTTATCTGCCTTTGCTTTACATTCCTTGAATGTTAAACCAATAACTGTTGCAATACTTTGACCTATGCACACCCTGGGTTTTATTATTTTATGACCAGTTGATACTCATTGAGTTTGCCAGGCTGTGTTTCTTTGTATATTTTATCATGGCAAGCATTGCTAAGAGGCTTTTGTGTTTGATTCATGATCCATTTTTCAGCAAGACAGTGGATGAGTGGGGTGCCATGGACCGCAGTATGGATGACTGGGGTGACATGGACCTCAGTATCATTTCCAGAACCTTAGGCAGGTCTGCATAGATACAGAAATTTTGAATGAGTGCTGTAATTTAGTAATGATCAGAATCCACCACTCGGGCACGCTGTGCCGGTATCTGTTAATGATGCAGATCAAAGGCTTTCTTGAACTTATTCTGAGTAATATATGTTTATCTATAGACCCTTCCATCTGACTTGAACAAGTGATTTGTCCATTATAAGAGCTTCATCATCTTTAACTTGTTTTAAAACTTCAGAAGTTTCTGGTTTGGGCATTGAAGTAGAAATGAGTCTTTTCTCTTGGACGTATTATAAAGAAAATAATATTTGAAGTTAGATATTTGGCTTCAGTGTGTGACAGCTGTTTTATGAACAGGAAACAAAAGACTGGTTAAAATCACATATGGGATCTTAGAGTGGTCAGATGACTAGTTCTTTACTAGTAAGTGTAGAAACTTTCCCAATTAAAGTAGTTGCAAACTTTACAGCCTTGTATTTGGTAGAACAATGATAGTCAATCCATTTTCAATTTCATCTTGGCCCTGTCCTCCTTGTTCATGTATAGATGCTTCAACGGAGTTTCAAAAACATCTTTGAGAAATGAGCAGACATTATGTACGGTGTTTTCCAGCTTCTGCCCAGATTATAGAATGGTGAAAGACCTCTGAGTTCAGTCCTGTTGGTTAAGGATCTGAAAGTGAATAAAACAGCCAGAGACTGGATCTGAAATGCAGGGAACACCTTTCTTAGCCGTCTCCCTGACTTGCCCTTATTATGATGTATCAGGGGCTGGAATGTATCCAGTGAGGCTTGACAGAGAGTATTACCTGTGCATATGGTACATACATACAGGATATCTAATAGTGTCAAGTCATTATTGTGTGTCATATTTAAAGGTTCTCCTGTTGGAGTACTTGCAAAGGTCATTTCTCATCTGTCCATTATCTGTTTGATTACTAATTCTTAGTTAGCTGTCATCTGTAACTGTGCAATACCACACTCCTATGCACTTCTTGTTGAACATAATACAGGCTTAATAAAAACAGCAATCTGTACAAATTGGTTTAAGTCCTTAACAGATGAATCTGCCTCTTTGGAATTGGTGGGATCATGTTTCTCTTAAACAAAAGATACGTGAAATCAGCATCTTCATTACTAATAATAGAGTGCATTGGTAAGCACTGTATAGCAGAACTTCACGGTATGAATGATTTAAAACGTCCCAAAATCCCTGGATGAAATACAAAACAATGTCACATTCTAGGGGGCTCAGCTGCAGTGGAATTTAACAACCATTATCTGGAATTTTCTCAGTCAGCCTAAGTCAAGTGAGTATAAGGTTCATAGATGGGAAACTTCCAGGACTTACCTAAAGAGCTGTCCTTGGCAAGTCATGAAGTGGTGATTTTCTTTAGAGCCAAGACAAAAGGAGTGCCTTGGCATGTTTGCAGAAGGCTGCTGTGCTGAGTGGACTCTAACTGGAGATATCTGAGAAAGATAAAGGTTAAAAATAAAATTAGGTGGAATTTAACCTTTGTGTGTAGCAGCTTAATTTTTTGTGGAAGTTCAGTAGGATCCCGTTTAGCTACTGCTCCTGGAAGCAACAATAAAAGGCTTTAGTTTTTAAAAATTAATGATTGACATATACAGCAGTCCTTCATCTGGGCAGGCCCAAAGAAACTGATATATCGGTGGAATACAAAGCTACCTGGGTTTGTTTCACACAGAGCTAATACCCAGAGCTCTGTTTTGAAGTGTTGTGAACATCAGATACCATGACCAGAAAATCCCCCGTTATATTTGCAGCAGGAAATAAGCAAGAAGCTTTTCATGAGGAAGGGAGCTGGGAGCTGGGATTGCAGTACAGACCTTAAGATTTCTCAAAGTAGAAGACATCATTAGAAGCATATGTGTAAATAGTCCTTTAATAGATAAGATCATTGCTTTAATTTGGTTGTTCTTGAGTACCAGTCACTGCCTAATACTGTGCCTGTAGGAACCAGATCAGATCTGCTGTCACATCCGTGGGCAGAGCAGTCTCTTGCTTAACTCCAAATTCTGTTGATTGGGAAAGATGTCATGGAGATTTTCAAAGTTCCTGGCTTCCAATGGGCCCAGCTCTAGAACAGTGAAGCTATAGGTTGGAAGGGTCTAGAAAACAGAAGACTACTTCAAAACTAAAGCTGTCATCGGAATTGGAAGCTGTCAGAGATGAGACTGGCCTGTGCAATTGCTGTGATTAATGTGTGACCCTGTGCTTTCAGAAATGTGGCAAGCACTGAAGGGATGTATATACTGGTAGTAAGGAAAACAAATTGGAGAACTAAAGCAGCAAAGGTTTTTTGTTTTCTGTATGTTTTCTGCTGGAGCGGGTCAGCTTACATCAGAAAAATGAATTAATCGGAAGTATGAAATGAAAGTGGTGAGGGCATTTGTTACAGCTTTTGCGAGATCTTAGTTGTCTTACACCACTACAGCTCTATGCCCTTAAAAACCCAACACTTTGCTTCTGAATATTCATGGGAAATTCACTGCCCGGACAGCTAAAATATATTACCGTTTTCATACCTTTTGTTACCTGCCTTTCTGTTCCTCATGTAGCCTTGTCATAAACGTAGTACTAGCAAGGAGCACATATGAGCCCTTTCAGTTACAACCACTGTGTAAGAAAGCCAAGACTGGTACTTTTGGTAGGACCAGTAACCATAAGCAGAGCATTGCCAAACACTGCCATTTCCTGGGTCTTCTGAAAGTTCTTCATCACTGTAGTGGCTGGGACAGATCTGTATAAGAGAAGAAGGCAGTCCTCAATTTGGATGTGGGCAGCATGAGCATCCAGCTTGAGCAGTACTGCCCGGCATGACAGCTGAGAAGTTTCCACAGTGCAGCATTTTGCTCAGATTATTTAAGGATGTAATTTACCAGTTACTTTAGTCCTTTGAAGTTTATTAAGCATAAAAAATAAAACATTCCAGAGCAGAGGAAAACTCAACCCCAGGCTTTGTTGAGTTAAGAATAACAATGATTTCAGGGAATGTCAAATTTAAACTCAGGTCTGTATGTGGGAGGGCATAGCTCTGGTTATTACCAAGGAGTTCTGGTCTGTTGTAGAGGCAGAATTGGATAAAACTGGGCAAATGTTTGTGAAAATGCTATTATTCTGGGCAGCACAGAGGAAAGAAACACCAAAAATGATGCAAGGATCTCAAAGGGATTCACTTTTCCTGTTAAAGTTGATTGTGTTTACTGATGTTCCAGCTTGAGGATTGACTCTTGAGTCAGCTCATAGTTCATGCGACTTGGGCTCTGAGGTTTACATTTTACTGTTGAAAATAGAGACCATGCTTCTTAGTCACATTGGGATGTTTAAGAAGGGGACTTGCGGTAGTCCTCTTGCTGACTAATCCTTTGCTTTCATGTATAGCTTCTGCACAGCATCACTGTACTTAGCCAGAGCATCAGGTTTTGGCTCACAGCCTTGTAAGCCAGCCAGGCTGTGCTTGCCAGAGTGCCAGAGCATAGACCCCAAATTGACTTTGTGCATCTTTCTTCCCCTGGTCTGCAAAGCTGCCAGAGACTTGATTTAGTATAAACCCACTTGCAGCAGTCCTCAGGGTATCTGAGCTACATGAAGGGAAGGACCATCTGGCCGTGCCTCCGCCCTTTGCCTGTCCCGATACGTGTGGGAGGCAGGACCAGGAGTAGCTTCACATCCAAGCATTCCTCCACAGCAGGTTACTTGGTCCAGCTTTTTTTGACCTTTCAGGTTACAGAAGATGTGTCTGTTCATATTCTCAGAAGGTGATGTTCTTTATGTTTCATTCATTAGGACTCCAGTTTCTTCAAGACTTTTAGCAGGTAGAAGTGTGGGTAGTCTAAGGAAGAGACTGCATAAGAACTTAAACAAAATAGACTTAAAATTAACCTGATCCTCAGGTGACTGTTTGATTTGTGTCTGAATAATTACTTTGTGCAGGATTTATCCTTGAATTGCAGTCCCTCTGCTGTGCCTGTTGTCTTTGGGTTGGTTACAGAAGACAGAAAATAAAATTAGTGCATGCAGTTATTCAGTAATGCGATCCATTTTGCTTTAAATAAGGTTTAAAATAAAATACATTTTTTTTTATATATAGGTGCAAAATGCGTAAAGGTGCTAATAGTGAGTTGGAGATGGTGATGTTTACTAAGGAGAACTGTATAAACAATAAACTTGAAGAAATCATAGCATTATCAAATGATAAGTCTCCAGCCATGCTTAGGGCTTTGGAGAATAATTTCTGCAAAGGAAGGGTTTTCCTTTTATATTGAGCAAAAAAGAAATGCCTCTTACCCTGTAATATTTAATGACGGTAGCTATCTCCTCTTGTTTAGATTAACATTACGGGCCTCAGATTGCAAGTTGTAATATTTGTTTTCTCCTGATTGCTGCCTTTAGCTCCTCAGTAAACGCCATTGACTGCTCTGTGGGTAACTCAGAAGAAGCCTCCGGGGCTGAATATATTAAAATCCACAGCATTCCACAGAAAATGACAAAATTCTCCCCAAATTGCCCCCACAATTTTCCACTGGCCTTCTTTATGAGCTGCAGGCAAAAGAGTGTGATCTGTTGTGCTTGTCTTATTCCTGTTTTTCTTCCTGTTTTAAATATAGTGAAATATATAAAATAATGAAGTGGTATTCAGAAACAATTCTTTTGCCAGGTCTTCCATCTGTTATTCTGTATAATCCTAATTTCTGTACAGAAAAAACAGAACCATGGTATGCAACTCAATATGTTACGAGATGTTTATTTTCATCAGCGTGGTCCAATAAAGTACATAGCTTAAATAATAACATTGGAGTATGTTTTCATTATTATTTGATCTATATATTTTACTGACATAAATGGATAAAAATAAACAGCTTGTAATATATAGAGTTACGGACTATGCTTTTGTGGATTTACAGAATTCTGTGGTGGATTTGGGTTTTGCAGCAGATTTATTTTCTCTAATTCAGTTAAAATAACTATGTAATCATTATTTGTGCTGAGTATGGTTTGAGGTTCATTTTCATAATTCACCATGGGATTTGTCTGCATAACTTCTGATGGTTAATGACCCTGTATTGATTGAGATTCCCTTTTGTGAGGCTGCATTGCTTGTGACTTGATAATGAATCAGTCAGAACACTCCATTTTAGAGCGAAAGAAAATAGACATCATGCTAACTTGCCAAAAAAAAAAAAAAAAAGACACCCAAAGCTCTGTGTACTCTATATATTCTGTAGGGACGTTTATAGTGCTTGTAGTACATGCTGTTCTGAAAGTGTCACACATGCATTTGTTGTTGTGAACTCAAACGCTGTAGAATCTGTGAAGATGCAAGATTAAATTTTCCATTGCCATTTTTACAGATAACAGCCCGTCGACAATGGAAACATATTTATGATGAATTAGGTGGTAACCCTGGAAGCACGAGTGCTGCTACATGTACTCGCAGACATTATGAAAGGTAAGATAACAAATCTGAAATGCTTGTTTAATAATGAAAAAATTAATTTGGAGAGCCTTCAAAGCATTTTATAAAGAATTAGAGAGAGAGAGAGTGAGGCTTCTTAAAGATATAGTTAATATTCCCCCAACTGTTTAGTCAGATAATCCATTGTAATTTAAACCAGAGTGTATGTCTCCAGCAACTAAATAAATAAAACGTATCTTAATTTTTACAACAGCTTTCCAGTTAAAGAAGCTGAAAAATTGAGCAAAACGTACTCAAGGAATAATAAGAAACGACAGCTAATTGATGCAAACACTTGTCTTCTGTCGTTTTTGAGGAATACCAATTAAGCAGGTTGTGGTTGTGATCAAAATAATGGAGTGGCCCACAATGCAGGGTGCTGTTAATGTTGTAGGTCATGCAGAGCATTGCATTCCTCTTCTTCATTGCATTCCTTCGCTCCTCCCTGCCTGCGAGCTGCTGCCAAACGCTCTTTCTCTGCAGCCATTGTTGCTGGTCAGAACTGTTGATTTCTTATTCTTCCCATGTAGATAATAACTTCCAGGGCTTGTGAAGCCAGCACACATTGAATAAAATACTGGAGCTGGAATGTTATTTTGGTTTGGTATGGTGTTTAGAAACAGCTCTCCCCCTCCCTTTTTTCCTTCTTTTTTTTTTCTTTCTTTTTTTTTTTTTTTTTTAATTTAGGCAAGCAAATGTTAATAAAAGCTCTCCAATTTAAGGCTCAGATAAGGAAAGTCCAGTCTTTTGTTCGTTGGTCATAAACAAGTTTCTTTGCTGGGGTCAGGAAGAGATTTCATTTGCCTGTGCATAAGGCAGCACAGCAGAGCTGAGTTCAGTGGGCAGTTGTTCACCTTCTTTTAATGCCTTCTGCCTTGCTAATGGAGGTGAAGGTTGATCACCCTCACTTACAGGAGATATCTCCAACATAAGAGCTTGAGTGCACAAATAAGTTGCAGGTAATGCCACCATACAAGTTAGAGTTAGAAGCTTTCTGGAGATCAAGCCAAGCAGCAGAGCAAATTGAGTGAGTTGCTGTACATGTCAGACAGGGCTTTTCCCTGCCTTTGTGTTGCAGAAAAGTGTTATAGATTGTTTTAATTGACTCATCAGATTGTGCATATTCGGCTCTTCCTCTCCATCATTACAGCCATGAGAGTCTCAGGGCTTCCTCTTGCACCCAAGCCAGCTGATGGGTTTCCAACTGGCAGTCTGGGTCTTCCCTTACCAGATGTGCTTTGTAGGATGCTGTTTATTTGACAGAGAAGACTCAGGCATTCATGAGACTTAGGTCTCTACAGGCTTAGGTCAGAGAGGGAGCAAACATTGCTGGGCTCTCTGTTGAAATCCTAGAGTCACTGAGAGAGCACATCTCTTGTAGTTTTGGAAAAATAAATGAGCCATTCACAAATACTCCACGAACCCCTGTCTCTTTCTTCTGCTTTCATGATAGTGGTTTATTTTTTTACATGCAAAACCCTTCAACTGCACTCCTCTTTGATGCATAGAGACTTGTCCATGTGACTTACTCAGCAGTTACTCAGGGGTATGCTGCGTGCTATGAAGTGCCACAAAGCCCATTGTGCTCACTAGAAAACCTGAGCAGATTCATGATGCCTTCAAAACAGAAAAGCCTTTCCAGGTTACCCAAAAGCAATTCTGTTTGCCTTGAGCCAGTCTGAGGAAAGAGTCTTTTAGTTTATGGTTGAATGGGTCTTAGCACACCAAAGAGCTCAAATCTGAGTTCTTGGATGCCAGTCTGTTGTGTAGTTCTAGGTTAAGTCTGATATGAGGCAGCACCTATTTTCCAGTTCTCTGGCAGGCTATGGAAAGATGGCATTTGGAGAAAAAGTCTTGAAGGATTTCTGGGTTAGCCCTGAGATTACCTAAAGTATGCTTTACCAAATCTGGTCTGAAAACCAAGACAAGTATGCAAAATAAACCTCAGTGACTGGTCCAATCTCTAGATTTCTAGTGTTAGACTCTTCCTTTTTTCCACCACAGGAAAGCTATACTAAGCCTCAGACTTGGAAAAAAGTAAATGAAATTGTCATGGTTTGTTTCAGCTGGTTATTCGAACTACAGCACCTGTAAATGTAAAGCTCATTTATAGCCAAAGTGCTCAGATGACTTTTAATCTATAACTAGAACTTTAGTGCAGGAATACACGTTCATGATTCAGGACATGCATTTTCTAACTTGAAGATGAGCTGTAAAGCTAAACTAGAAATTGAATTAAGCTGGGAAGTAAATGTTGAATAAACCTCATGATTTTTCCTTTCTGAATCCCACTGGCCTTTCCTTGTTTACTGGAGGCAGAACAGGCAGTACCCTGACTTCACTGATCCTCTTGGTGTTTGCCTCAGGTGTGCCATTCATCTCTACAACTAGATCTCAAGGGCATCCCTGTTGTGTTATCTAGCTGTCTTCCAAGATGATAGAGAAGCTTCTAGCTGTTTGCACCAGCATTAACATATCAAGGCTTCTTAGGTGTTAGAGACCTTTCAGTGAGATACTTGGGCTGCTGAGGCACATATGTCCCATTCAGATACTGCATCCCACCTTCTTGCCCTCTCCAGGTTCCCCTCTGCAAGGTGAAGTTTAGCATACAACTTCTAAGGGCAAAAAGGAGGGGAAAAAAAAAAACAAACAAACAAAAAAAACAACAAAAAAAAAGGAAAGAGAAAGGAAAAAAAGAAGAATAAATCATGAGGACAGAATTGGCTCTCTGTCTGGCAAATCCCATGAAGAAATGTTGCTTTTCTCAAAAGGTGCTTATAACCCCTTAAAAAACAGCATATTGCTGCAGATCCATGGTACCAAGGAAGGCAAAAGCTGAAACAATGCCAGATTTAAAGGCTGTGGGGAATGCTTTGCTCCCCTCTCTTGCGCCACTCTCTCTGGCAGGGGTTGTAGTGGTCGCTACTGCTATGCTATAGGTAGGCAGAGTCCTTCAGTCAGTGTGGTGTTTGCTTTGTTTCCCTGGTAAAAGAGAAAAAAAGATTTTGTGTGCATTATCAACTGATTCATTTTTCATGTAGTACGGTTTGTGTTTCCAGTAACTGGTTTCATTTTAAAACAAGGCGAGCCTGCCAGTGTTTCAGTAAGTGTTATTTGTATATTAGTTAGACAACTTTTGTTTTATTAATGAGTATAATAATGAAAGTGCAGGTTGCTGAGTAGAAGCAATGGGTGTTTTTATTTAAAGCATAGCAGGCGTCGTATAATGCCAATGAATGCATTATTGTCACTGTAGGCATGGCTGGTCTGAACCTGCCTCTGATTGGGTTATTCCAAATAGGCCCAAGCACTTCATAAAAATGTCTTTGTCAGCCTAGTTTTCCTTCCAAACCTATTCATCTCTGTCAGTTTTTAATATTAGTACCAGGCTCTTGGCTATAGTCCATTAGTACTGTACTTAATTGCTCATGTTACAGATGATTACCAATATAAAAAGCATTAATGTTTTCCCATCGTGGGGCAGTTGCTCTGTACACAACTCAAGACTGTACAGAGCTTATGAGTTGTTGTTGTTAAGTAGTTACTTTCTTCATTTGTGTTCCTTTAATGCACTTACCTTGTATGATCACAGAAAAGTAGAGGTGTATGTGGTTGGTATTGACTGATTCAGCCTGAACCTTTCCTGTGAAACTCTTACAGCCCTTGTCAGTACCCCACATCTCTCTCTCTCTCTTATCAAGAAACCCTCAGAAACGGCTACTTTTCTGCGAAGCACTCTTCTCCATGCTGCCTTCCCCTAATAATGCAGATGTGGTTTTCACATGCAGGGTTTGAGGTTTCTTTTGCTTTTACACAAAACACTTGATCGCAGCTTTAATTTTCCGACGTGAAAGATAGGCTGTATTTCTTCAGTGCTCATGACATTGTTAGGGATTTCTCATAAATATTACACCACCACCACCTCCAAAAAAAAAAAAAAAACCAAACCAAAAAAAACCAGCATCCTATTTTGCAAGGTATATAAAGGTCCCAATAAGATGCACTGAACAAATATTACAAGCAGTTGCCTTTTTCTGCCTCCAGGTCTGGCTGTGATTCATTTTGGTTTCCTCCAAAGCAAGCCTTGAGCACAAGCTATGCACAGCCATGCAGGTGACGGGGAACTGTGATGTGCAGTGGCACGCAGTAACTCCTCAGCTTCTATGGTGGACAGATATGTTGATGTTCAAAGACGTCATGGCAGGCAGCTGGACAGTTCCACAGAGCAGTAGCCCTCCTGGCTTCTACAAGTGTTGCAGGGAACCTGGGTCACTTAGGGTCTCCATCAGGGATGGACCCAGAGCATCCCACAGGCTGTCCTGCTCTTCGCAGTGTATCTCATATCCTGGCCCTCAAGAATCACTAATGCCTTGAAAACCAGACAGTCCTGGTCAGACTCATCTGGAGAGGTGTTTGCTAGGCTTTATACTCTCATCAAATTGTGGCAGCTGAATGGAAAATAGTTTTGCAGAGCTGTGACCACATGGGACTTGATGAGGAGCAGATAGGTGAGATGGGTGCCCAGAGCGGGCCATGGTTCTTCACAATCCAGCAGGTTGGCTGGGCCCTGGGTTTTGGACACAGACCTGCAGAGGGTTTTACTCTGGCTGTGAATGTGGCCCCTGTGCACTTGCAGAGCACCCTGCACATCTCTCTGTTACCAGGGGACTAAATGCCAGGAGGTGCAGTGTCTTGTACAGTTCAGAGCCAGTTCTACCATTTTTTGCCTAAATCGCTCACACAAATGCTACATATTATATCATAAACACAAGGCAGGTCAAAAATAAGTCCCTTATATGGTTTCCCTTTAATAGCCGTTAAGTCTCTCTACCCTAAGGATATTGTGCAGCAATTCAATATGCAAGAGAGCCCCATGTTCCATGCAAATGCTGTTTGGTTTTGTTAAAGCATTTGGATAACTTTGGTAACATGTAAGCATTTCAGTGGAGTTTTGTAGCAGCCAATCTTTTAGAGGGAAAAAAAATTAGGAGTCT